AATGTATAGTATCTATTTTAATCAGTCAGGAAAAGGGATTTTCATACATTTCAGGCCAAGTAAATCTTTAAAGAACACGGGATCCCTGTAGACAGTATAAATATAAGGTAATATCATACCCTTTAGTTGTGGAAAACATAACACCAGGACAGAGATAGTAGAATGATAAACTTCTAGGAGACGGAAATTGTCATTTTTAGTTTTTTTGTTATTTATTTTGGGGGGTGCTAAGCATTGAACCGAAGCCCTTGCACATGCTATGCATGCACTTTAACACTGAACTACAACTCCAGCCCCCTGAAATTGCTATTTAAAAAAAAAAAAACACATTTATTTATTTATTTATTTATTTATTTATGTGGTGCTAAGGATTGAACCCAGGACCTTGCATGTGCTAGATGAGCACTCTACTGCTGAGCTGCAAACTCAACTCTGAAATTGTTATTTTAAAAATTTGTAAATAAGAGTTATGATTCTAGTGTTTTCCTGTCTAACTTGGATGGCAGTGGATGGAATAAAAGGCCTAAAATCCACGTTTTTGAAAATGTCTCCCAAATTTAATATTTTAAAGTTCAAATATGCCAAGTAAATCCATCTCATGAATCTTTGTGTGTGTGGCGGGGGGAGGTTAACTGAGGATTGATTCCAGGGGCGCTTTACCACTGAGCTAAATCTCCAGCCCTTTTTATTTTGAGATAGGGTCTCACTAACTTGCCAAGGCCAGTCTCAAACATGTGATCCTCCTGCTTCAGCCTCTTGAGTGGCTGGGATTACAGGTGTGCATCACTGTGCCTGGGCTATGATTTCTATTTTTTAAATGTACGTTCTTGTGATTTTTAACATAGTTTATAATTATACAATGGAAAATTCATTAGGTGTTTAGTGTTACGCCAATTTGTAGAACATGTAATCTTCAGCCTTCAGACACTATAGACCACATCTTGACAATCACTGATTTGTACATAGCAGTTTAGAAATGGTGATGAAAGTAACATGTATTTGTAAACTCAAGATTAAACATTTAAAATAGTAGGTGTTGGATGGTGGAATGTGATAGACATCATTATCCAAAGTACATGTATGAAGACACGAATTGGGTGCCAACATACTTTATGTACAAACAGAGATACGAAAAATTGTGGTATATATGTGTAATAAGAATTGTAATGCATTCTGCTGTCATTTTTTTAATTAATAAAATAAATAAATTAATAAAGTGGTAGGTGTTGAGGGTGTACCTCAGTCTTAAAGCTCTTGCCCAGGAAGCATGAGGTCCTAGGTTCAATCCCCAGCATGGCAAAAAAGGGAGAAAAAAATTTTTTTTTCTAAAAATAGATTTTACTTCCTAGAGGTATGTACTCGGCACATAAAGGGTTCAGGGTACCCTGTAGTACCTGTCCTGTGGAGCTTCACAGACTGAGTTGGCTATACGCTAGAATAAGGGTTGAGCTAGAAAGGACTGGTGCATGCCTGCAGGGGCTTACGGAGATTCTGGGAGAGTGTCCAGTCTATAAGAGTGTCACCTTTGGTTTCTGCTCTGAGTTGATTTTAATAGAAAACTCAATACTACTTTTATCAGTGATAATATTTGGTAGGAACTTGATTTGGCCAAGCCAGTGTTAAGCCTTGGAAAAGATGTATCTTGTGTTCCATGTATATATCTAAAAGACACCCATATTTATGGGTGATTTTTTTTTTTCTGTTTTTGTTTTTATTTTATAGAGGAGTGTCAATCCCCCCCTGTAAAGTAAATTACCATAGCAAACTGCCATATACTAGGTGACCTATGAAATTTACTTCTCATAGTTCAGGAGGTTCTGAAGCCAAGAGCAACATAATGGCAGATTCAGTGATTGGTGAGGGCCTGCAGCCTGTTCCCAGATATCAGTCTTTCTGTGTCCTCAGGTGATAAAAAGGGATGAGTGAGCTCTCTGGGCTTTCTTTCTGAGGGCACTAATCCCATTCATGAAGACTCTACCTTTATAATCTTAATACTGTCCAAAGACCTCACCTCCAAATATATCACATTGGGGATTGGGTTTTAAGATTTTGGCGGAGGGAACATAAAGGTTTCATCTCATGGCAGAGATTTTCCTTCTACCTTTTTTAGACTCTTCACTTTTTCTATATTAGKATGATATACGTAATTTTAAAACTAGAAGACAGTTCAGGGAATATCTTAATGCAGTTTTGGGAGTAAGGGAAGTCTTGAGGCTGAGGAGACCTATTTGGACCTTCTAGGCTCTTGTCATGTTATAGAAAAAAATTTAAGGAGACCTCAGGCCTTTGTTTTTTAAAATTGTAGATTGACATAATACCTTTATTTATTTTTATGTGGTGCTGATGGTCAGACCCAGAGCCTCACATGTGCTATACCACTGAGATATAGCCCCAGCCCCATCTCTGGTTTTAGTAAAAAGAAATTTTTATTAGAGAGTGAAAGGTGGAGACATGCATTCTGAAGAATTGGAGCTACTTAAGAGCCAGATGCGCTTTTGGGGTCTTAGGCTGTTCTTTTAAAGAAGAGGGGTGGGCATGGGAAGGCATATTGGAACAATGTCAGCCTGGGGAACTCAGTTCTTTGATCATGGATCACAGAATGTTTATAGTGGTCTGGTCTCCAGGACCTTCAGGCTGACATTGTCTCCTCTATCTAATAAATAATGTTTAGAGTGTACCTGTATTATAGGTACATTCCCTTTGTTTTATCTCATTTGAAATAAAAATACATCTCCCTTTGTTTTATCTAATTTGAAAATACATTGTGTAGTCTAACATAAGCATTAATCAAATCAGATAATTTTCATAAATAATTGAAATTTTAACATCTTATAGAAATTTCCCAAGAATTTGGGAGTGATAGAGCTATAGTTTTCTTTTCCTTTTGTCTTCTATCTTTTTTTTTTTCTTTCTTTCTTCACTTGTCTCTCTCCTGATATATACATTTTTATCATTTAGGGAAGCTTTTTGTTTTTTGTTTTGGTACTTTTATGTTTTATTTTGAGACTCACTGAGTTGCTTAGGGYCTTGCTAAATTACTGGGCTAGCCTTGAACTTGATATCTTTGTGAGCTGATGAGATTACAGGTGTGTGCCACCACATCCAGCAATATTTTTTTAAAAGTAACTTATTTGGGGGCATTAAGATGTGATTTAATTGGTTCTGGAGATCAAATCAGGGACATTGCATATACCCACATAAAGGCAAGTGCTTTACCACTGAGCTACATCCCTATTCCTCTAGGTAGACTTTTTTCCCTAAATACCCCACCCCCAGGTGATTCTGTTGTTCATCTTCAGAAGGTGGATCTGGATTACCCACTCTTGAATGTGAGCCTAATTAGTGATTTGTTTCCAAGAAATAGTAGTGGTGAACTTGAGGTGTTGCACCTTGTGATATTAGGTTTAGAAAAGGAGATATATCTTCTATCTGGCTTTTTCTTGGAACCCAGCCTCCAGATGTGCCAAAGGTAGGACACCTGTAGGTGTCTCAGATCACAGTCCCAGCATCTCATGCACAACATGGTAGGGTGAACCTTCCAAGGATTCCAGTCCTCATTCTTCCATCCGCCCTATCTATAGTCTATGGATTCTTGAGCAAAATAAATGATGCCACTAAATTTGGAGAATAGTAATGTTACAAAGCCAGTCACTAGAGGCTATATATTTTACTGGTTATTATTACAACCAGATAAATAATATATTAATAGATAATTTTAAACATTCATCCATGTCCCACAGTTTATAACACCTTTATTTGCTTATTATATTTCTTTTCAATCTTTGATGAAAAACACACATTGATATTTTGACTGTGTTAATAGTGTGGACATTTAATTTTGTGGATATTTTCTTTTGTTATTAGATATTTTCACATTTTACTACGTAATATTCATAAAGATTATTTAAACTGAATATATGATAGTTCATGCAGTGTATATACCTATGGTTTTGACAGACCTAAGCAGCTCTGGCTTAACAGCTCTTTTTCATATTTCATTCTYTATAAATAAACCCAGAGAAGATATTTGTATACCTGCCACTGGGGGAGATGAAGAGGATATAAGTGATGGGATCAGTGTCTGTCTGTCCCTTCTCTTATGCTGAGTTACTGAAGACTATCTTGTGCAGAGAGCAGCATGTTGTCTTGGTGTTTTGCTTCAGATGTCCTCTGCACAGTGGTGATGGTATTTTTTGGAGTGGAATTCCTAGGAGAGGATTTCCAACTGGGTTGAGAATGGCGTGGGAAAAAGGAGAGAAGAATGGGTAAAAAGGAGAAAGATGAAAATAAATGACCTAAATTCTGCCTGAGGTGTAAGGAATTGATCAGGTCAGGTTAGAGAAGATGAGACTCTTGAAATCTGATCAGTGTTCAGCTCCAAAGTTGAGTATGTTGGTAGAGAGTCACAGAAACCGCTGCTGGTGGTGAAGTTGAACACAAGATAGTGGGATTGCAGTAAATGGGCATTTGTTTTTGGGTCAGGCAACCTTTACCTTAAATACTTTGGGCTTTCCCTACCAGCTCTAAAACTTGACCTCAGTCATTGAATTTTTCCATTTTCTATTTTTTCATCTAAAGAGTGGGTGTGGAAGTTCCTGTCTCCCATGGCTGTAGTGAAAGAAGTGTTGCTAATTATGTATGTCTTTCCTACCCTGTGAGAAGTGCAATTCTATTATAACCTTGAAGTAGGTTAAGGACAGACTGAAGGAGATGGGACGATTCATGTCAGGAAAGTCTTAGGTTTGTTACTTCAGGTCTTTTCTCATATGGAGAGATTGGTGAAGAGAAATACTGGGAGTTGATTAATGAAGTGGACCCTTTATTGACTACCTGCTTAGTGCAAGGCACTCCCAGACTCTGCCAGAATGCACATATGAGTAGTTGGCTCCTTCCTTTCAATGTATTTGTAGTCCCATTGGAAACACAAATATGCACTCATAACTAATTCAGCAAAGGTTAATTCTAGGACGTTTGGTGTTCTGTTTGGAAACTCGGGGAAAAGTCTGCGTGGTGTGTTAAGTAGGAATGGACACTCAGAAGGACGTTCAACCCCCAAAGCAGCAGCCAATGATCTATATCTGTGGAGAATGTCACACAGAAAATGAAATAAAATCCAGGGATCCAATCAGATGCAGAGAATGTGGATACAGAATAATGTACAAGAAAAGAACTAAAAGATTGGTGGTTTTTGATGCTCGATGAAACATGGGAATTCAGAGGAGTGTCTTTCTTTGTACCTGGATTTGACCCTTGAATGTTTCTCGTTATTATACAGCTTTTTATTTAGCACACTTATCTTATGAATACAGCTGTATACATATGATTCCATTTTATTTCATTTTCCAAGTCAAATTGTGTTTAGATATCAGTAATTTGTGTAAAGACTCTTGTTTAATTAAATGACTTAATTTAATTTTATTGTATTATGTGATCAGACACAAAATGAAAAATTAAAATTGCTTCCCCAAATCACACTTTTAATTACACGCTTGTTAGAAATGAAAGTTTCTAAAGTCCTGTAAAATTCTGATGAAAGAAGTTCCTTGGAAACCATAATTATATGTTGTGAACTGTTGGTAAACTCTCTAGCATTATTTGGTACAGATTAAACTAGTCTACTTGCTCTCAGTATAAAGATATAAAAAATTCAAAACTAGTAGGTAAAATCAGAAATGAATAGACATAAAGGAATAGCTGAGAATGTGTAAAAACAAGTTGCTTCTTCACATATACAGGGTCATATGCATGCCTACCCTTCTGAAATAAGTTCTGTATAGAAAATTAGTCAAGGTGGAATAGTTACTTGAGTCGAAGACTAAGAGATTAGAAAGAGCAGTACTGGAATAGGGGAAAGAGCCAGTGTAAAAGCTATGGGGCAAACTGTGAACTTGCTTTTTTCCCACTTCAAAATGAAGCACATGTGACTTATACTTCATTAACAGTGAGTTAGTGGRAAAAGGTGAGGTTGCATTTTTGCCACTGGATGCCACCAAGAAAGCATTGCTAGAGTCTTCTACTACCATCATTTCTAAATCAGAGTCCCCAGAGCACCTGAACATCTGCAGAAGCTRTTCATCAAAGGGCTGAGCTTTGAAACAACTGATGAGAGTCTGAGATGCTATTTTGAGTAATCGGGAACACTCACGGACTGTGTGGTAATGAGAGAYCCAAACATCAAGTGCTCCAGGAGCTTTGGGTTTGTCACTTATGCCACTGTRGAGGAAGTGGACACAGCCATGAATGCAAGACCACACAAGGTACATGRAAGAGATGTGGAACCAAAGAGCTGTCCCAAGAGAAGATTTTCAAAGACCATGGGCATACTTAACTGTGAAAAAGACCTTTATTGGTGGCATTAAAGAAGTCCCTGAAGAACATCACATGAGATTATTATGAACAGTTTGAGAAAATTGAAGTTATTGAAATCACGACTGACTGAGGCAGTGAAAAGACGAGGGCCTTTGCTTTTGTAACTTTGGATGACCATTACTGTGGATAAGATTGTCATTCAGAAATACCATACTGTGAATGGCCACAACTGAAGTGATGAAAGCCCTGTCAAAGCAAGAGATGACTAGTGTTTAATTTAGCCAAAGAAGTCCAAGTCTTGAAACTTTGGTGGTTGTAGAGGTGTAGAAATGACAGTTTGGGTCTTGGAGAAAACTTGAGTGGTTGTGTTGGTTTTGGTGGCAGTGGGGATGGCTACAATGGATTTGGTAATGATGGAACCAATTTTGGAGGTGGTGGAAGCTCGTTTATTTATTTTGACAATTACAACAATGAGTTATCRAATTTTGGACCCATCAAGGGTGGAAACTTTGGAGGCAGAATCTCTGGACTCCTTGGTGTTAGAGGCCAATAGTTTGCTAAATCACAAAACCAAAGTGGCTATGGTGGTTCTAGCAATAGCAGGAGCTATGACAGTGGTAGAAGGTTTTACTACTGCCAGGAAACAGCAGGACAGGAGAGCCAGAGAAGTGACAGCTATAGATACAGATTTATGAACTTATCTAAGCACAGTGGTAGCAGGGCCTAGCTGCAACAAAGAAGAAATGATTTAGACAGTACTCATATGTAGACAAAAAAACTTGAGGACTGTATTTGTGATAAATTGTATAACAGGTCATCTTAGTTTCTGTTCTGTGGAAAGTGTAAAGTATTCCATCAAAGATTTTAATGTAGACTTTTTTCCCCCACCAATGCTGTTGATTGCTAAATGTTAGTCTGATCATGATACTGAATAAATGTGTCTTTAAAAAAAAAAAAGGTTAATTCTGATTGCAGGAATTGGGTAGGTAACATTTCATCTTAGATTTGGCATTTGAATTGAATAYTAAAAGTGAAGAAGCCAGAGCATAATCAAAGTGCAGTGAATAAAGATGAAAGTCTTGTTTAGAGACAGCACACCACACACTAGAGCAAAAACAACCAGTTCATGAAGAAAGGGGGTAGGTTACAATATATTTTTTTCTCTCTGTTTTTTGTATAATATAAGGATGGAAGTCAGAGCTCTGCCACTGAGCTGCATCCCCAGCACTTCTGTTTTTTTATTTTGAGATAGGATCTCACTGAAGTGCTAATGTAGGCCACTAACCTTTGGTCCTCCTGCCACAGCCTTCTGAATAGCTGGGGTTACAGGCACATGTCATTTTATTTGGCCTGAATATTTCTTTAGTCATTGAGCTTTTCTGAGCAAGTGAATGACAAGAACAGACTCTGGAGGAAAAAAAGCAATTAGTGTAACAAGAGAATAAGGGAGTGAATGATGAAGTGGCATGAAACAAGAGATAGATGTGTGAGAGAGGGCTATTTAAGCAGTGACTTGCTAGGGTTTGGCAACATAGAGGGAGCCTGAAAGCTGGAGTGGTTAAAGGGAGAGGATACCATCACCAAGATTGGGAGTAACACTAGAGGAGGCTCGCTGTGAATCAGGAGCAGGTGTGCTGCCTCTGAATCTGCTTGCTGCACAGGGAGGGCTGCCTGGACTTTTTCATTGCAAACATAAAGTTGGCACTTCTGTAAAATTAAGAATAAAGTTATAGACTTGGCAGTAGCAGGAAGGAAGGAAGAGATGTGTTAAAGGTGGAGTGTTTGCATGGGAAATAGAAGGGGATAGATGATCAAAGCATCACTTTTGTAAATACCAGGTTCTTCAATTTCTAATTCATGGGAAAATGCAATGGAGACTGACTGAAAAGAAGGGGAAAGTTTCTGCTGAGATTAGTTTTGCCAGGACTGTAGCTCTTAACTAATTTTATTAGTTCCTAAATTATAGTGTTTAATAGAATAAATAACTAGCAAAAATGCTGCATGAAGAACCATCTATATTTTACCTGCCAAGATCTTCATTCAGATTAATGTTACCTAAGATCACTGTATTGTTAATACCCTTAAATTGTCTTGGGCTGAAAGAGGAATATATAATTAAATATTGAATAGCCTGGCATCTCAGTTCAGAGGAAGAGATTTTTATGGTGAAATGAACTCTGAAGCTAGGTCGGTTGGTTGTTTATTTATTTAGCAGTACTGGGAATTGAACCCATGGCTGTGCAAGCACTCTACCCCTGCCCCACAAACTACTTAAAGTGACAGCTCAGAGAATCCAATTGCATAGTTTCCAGACATTGCTATTGTATTGTGCATTGTCCTGTGGTATCATAGTATAAAATGTAGCTGGTCTTTGTGCCCAGTTCCTGTCACAGAGCTCCTAAAACCCTAGGAATTTGCTGAGTGATAGTAGTGGCTTTTATTATTTGCAGTGAACTTCCCACCCACCAACCCTTTTATTTGTTCAGTTCTGGGGATTGAATTCAGGTGCTTGAACACTGAACTACATCCCTAACCCTCTTTATTTTGAGATGGGGTTTCACTGAGTTGCTTGAGTTGGCCTTCAATTTGTGATCCTTCTGCCTCAGGCCAGAGCCACTGTGCTTGGCTCACATTTCACTCCTCTGATCACACCCAAGTTTATGCTAATGGTGTGACTTAAAGTGGGGATCCTAAATATTCTCTGGATATGGCACTAGTCACCCAAACAACCCAGTGATTAGATTGTTGGGAATTTGAACCCCACCCACTGACCACTGAGCTGTTACTTAAAGAGGTGGAGAATCTCAGAGACACCCTTCCAATTAAAGCAAAAACCCACAGCCTGCTGTCATATCTCACCTACCTATTGCTGTCTAATGTATCAGTATTGTCATAATAGAATCAAATGTTTCTGTACTGAACATTGTTACACCAATACAGAGTCTTGGGCCAAGTGTAAAACCTTAAATTTTGGTTGAGTAACCTGTTATCTCTATGTCTAGGTTTGTCTTGCCTCTTTCCTTTTTTTTTTTTTAAACCTCTTTCCTTGTTCCAGGAAAACAGGTGGAATTTACCTTCCTCCATTTTAGGAATTATTTTAACATTTTTTTTTCCAGAGGAGATAATCCATATAAGCATAAAGCCAAAGGTATCAGCTGCCAAATATCTGAAATATAGAAAATGGGTTGCGTTTTCTGGCCTTCAACATTTTTTGAGTGGATGACTCTTGACAACCACCTTTTTTTTTTTTTTTTTTTTTTAGACAGTTCCTTTTGAATAAATTTCCATTTGGAATCAATTCACTGATTATACTCATTTCCCGCTTTTGGCTTTGCTAGATTATGCAGAGCAATCTAGCTGGTACTTGAGGCTCTACCAGCAGAATCTACATCAGATACCTTGGGCCAGGTGTGTTTTGCATTTGCATGGCACCATAGGGTTCTCTCTCACCTTGCATAACTGTGGACACAGAATTTTGAAGACATCTTTTTAATATTTTCTTGATTCAATGTGTAAATAACTTTCTATTCAGTGATAGCATATTCCAATAGGGAATGAGTGAGCTAGCTCTTGTTTTTGCCTTTCATTATGTGATAGTGGAAGGACTCCACCTCAGCCTCTGATTCTATTTTACTTCAGTTAAAAATGTTTTAATGAAGGTAGAGAGCTCCAGGACAGCCACTTTCTCAGTCTCTTCTAGAGTTCCATAGATTTGAGTAGTATGAAGACAGAGTGCTTTGTGTTTCCATGTTCTGTCACATGCATGATGTTGTTTGATCCTAAAAGACCCCATAAAGTAAGAGGTGTCACGATAGTATTGATCTTCTATTGCAGGTAAACAGACCAAGATTCTGAGGGGGTGGGGAGATCTTGAGTAAGACAGCTAGTGAGGGCTAAACTTGGGCGTTGAAACTGAATGATTTAATTTGCAGTGCTGGGGATTGAACCCAGGACCTCATATATGCTAGGCAAATA